GGGGGGGGGGGGGGTTGTTTTTTTTCCCAGTGAGTCTGTTCATTTCTATTCGCATGATTTCAAAGGTCAGATGTATCACCTCGTTTACAAAATATCTGCACAGCAGAAAATCTATGCAGTGTTATCTATAATACAATAAACAGCCAGATGATGCTCTGAAGGCAACTCCACTGAGACTTGTTGTTTTCAGTTTTATTGAAGCTATTGTTGCATTTAATTCAGTTTGATCATAAGTGCCTCAGGCGGAGTGAGGAGAGCTGCTGTGGTGGTGTGCTTGCAGTAAGTAGCTAGACACTCGCATACACACACATGCAGTTAAGTCCCCCTGAGTAAATAAATAAAGCATGAGGCACTCTGATCCCACTGGGTGACAGATGTCATGTTAATCTGCCTGATGGACGGATGGTTGTACTGGACCTGCACCCGTTCTGTTTCCATACAGAGTGCAAAACAACCTCAAAGTCACCCGCTCAGATGCTATACGACAAAAAATAACTGTATATTCACTCTCTTTAAAAGTGTGATACATTTGTAACTACGGAAAATGGTTAAAGGGTAATTTGTGTAATTTACTGTAGACTTTTTTATTTTTTGTGCATTAACTTGATTTATTTAATGATAGTAAATTGAATCTGGAACAAAATAATAAAGGTGCCATGTGGAACTTTTGTGTAAAGAAATTAAAGTTGTGTTTACATTCAATGTTTTCACCAAAATGCCTTATGTGTATTCCCTTCTGCATAAAACATCTGCAAAGCTGAATTTTACTGTTTTAAATTCTGATTTGTTCACATCCATGTTTGCTAGCTAGCAGTGTTCTTTTTCCACGCCTTTGTTGGTGCATTGTTACATTACTTGGTGCCTTACTACCACCAAATGTCCGTTAGCAAAATAACACAAAACCTTTGGCAAAAAATGCAAATCAGGTTGTCAGGTTGCTCTCACATGTGCATGTGCATCATAGCGTATTTGCAGAATATTAACAAAACAACAGAGCTGTAGTCAGGATCAACTTAATCAAGCCCAAGTCAAGCCTAAGACCAGGTCCAGTTGAGTCAGTAGCCCCTTTTACACTGCCAGATTTTCCGTGAATGTTGGGCCGTTTTGCCGGCAAGCTGCGAGCGTTTAGACACACAGAGCTGGATTGGCGAGTTGNAGCGTTTAGACACACAGAGCTGGATTGGCGAGTTGATCCGAGGCGCCCAATTTTCCACCTAGTAGGGTAGACATATTGGCAGAACCCTTTTAGATTAAAAAGACAGAGGCGGCCTTCCGCAACGGGAGGGGCTGTTGATGACTTGTGGGAGGAGCTGTTGATGACGCTGCATGTGCGACCCACTGGCGGTGGATAAACAGGAAACAGCTGATAGCAGGAATTAGCGAGCAGCTAGTAGCAAGAGGGAAACACAAACCTGACAGACACTGTAAAGATGAGCAACTGGGGAGACAAGGAATTGCGCACCCTCCTTGTTCTCGCAAATGAAGAGGCCATTAACTGTGAAGAACGGGCCGACTGACTGAAGGACTGACCAGCCGCAGCTTCCCTCCCACGTCACTGTTTACGTCACACGCAGAGCTACACGTTTTGTTACTTGCTCACGCCCCCCATTGCCCCGAAAAAGGCGCATTCTGTATAAACAAAAGTAGGTAGGCGGCATTTTGCTGCACTCCCTGATTTTGTTTTTATACTGCCAATGCTGAAAGAAGACTGATTGGGCTTTCCTGCAAATTTGCACAATTCCTGTTTAAAAAGGGCTAAAGTCAAGAGCAAATTGAGTCCTGCTCAAGACCATAATAGGCAAGAGTGTCTTTCCAATGCAAATATCATGATTAAGGTGTTAGGATGGATAAATAAGATATGATTGATCCTTATACTAATCAGTGCATAGAATTTAGGTGTGATGATCATTACATGTTTCTACAGGTAGGAAAGCTGAGGCAGAGGGGGTGTTTTTTTTCTTTTTCCATGCAACATGTTGGTAAAATCAGGCAATTTTCTGTTCAACTGATCCTGAATGGGCAGCCAGGAACAACTTGACCAGTTCTCAGTATCCGAGCCCAATACCAAGACAGTGCAAGACACCTGAGTGGTCCAGAGACCAGACTTAAGGGCTACAGCCCTGCAAAACAGGGGCCCATTCATACAAAATTTTGCTCTATAGCACTACTAGTGGTCAAAAACCTCACTGGTGACCTTTAATATGTAGAAAAAAAAATATAATATAGAAATGGAAAAACTCTCATATTTATTACCTTTGAAAAAGACAAACTTCCCCTCGCTGTTTTCATACACGGCATCAATTTTGGGAGGCAAGCCTTTCCAGAAGTAGTTGATCTGCATGGGGTAGCCAGGGACGACTGAGTTGTCCCGTACCCTCCAAAACCACTGGTCCTATAGAAATGGATAAGGTACAATCATCATTACTTTCATCATCATTCCAAACTGCTTTACTAGCGTCCATGTTCACTCAGACTGTTCATCTACTCTACCTTGAACACAAAAAGCTCCTGCCGGAGGATGGCCAGAGTATTGAAGCCCCCATCACAGATGTTGGGTTTGGAGTTGGGGTTGGAGGGCTTGGCCCCCTGCGGAGGGCGATGGGGTCTAGCATGGCGGTCATGCTTACGGGGGTCTGAGGGAGGGTGGAAGCGGGGAGGCGGGACAGTAGGTGGAGGCCTGGTAGGCTGCGGTGCTCTATCTGGTGGACCTGAAAAGAACAAGAAGTATTTCATCTTCCTTCCAGTTCTTGGACCAATGCACCTTCAATGTTGGCACAGATCGTTTGGCCTCTTTTGAGCTTTTCATGTTGGCTGTCCTCTTTAGCAGCTGACAAATGCTGCTTACTGGCAATCAACCCAATATGACTGAATGTTGCAGCAGCATTCGCAATAGTGACTAAGTCATTGCAGGGCCTCAGAATTAATAATATTTTGTTAAAGAAATGTTGGAACAATATAATGCATATGTAACATTGCTCTAAATGGCTCAAGCAAACTTATTTTCAACTGCTAGAATTTACAGAAAAAAAGTGTTGTTTATCTTTGTTCGACTTCTACATCATAAAGCATGAGACTAACATACGAAGCAAAGAGTTACCATAGATTTTCTGGATGCCCTGTAGGTCATCGTGAGGTAGTTTGAAGTTCTCTGTGTCCATGTACTGGTAGAAAGGAGCCATGATGGCGGTGGGGTCGTTAGAGTGTTCCAGACCGAGGGCGTGGCCCAGCTCATGCACCGCAACCAAAAACAAGTCGTTACCTGGAGAGGACAAGAGGACACTGTCAGTGCACTCCATCATATATAGCAGGTCTATTCAGCTGGGCATAGGAGCAACCTCTGAGTGGCCCAGCATACATAAATCTGATGGGCTACACCATTATGATATGGAATTATTAATTTACTTGAACAATTGTTTCCGGAACAGGTTAACATGTGATATTCAGGAGATTAGGAGTGTAATGTTTCGCACGTTTAGAGAAAAACTGTTGACATGTGGTATAAACCAAATCTGCAAATAAAGAATAGCCACAGTGTTGAACCTTACGTGACGTATAATCTAAACAACAGACAAATATCCCAGAGTGCACATTTGCGCTCAGGAACATTACCATTAGCATTAGAGACTGGACGGTTTAATGCCACCCCAGAGGAGGACAGAATCTGTTTGTTGTGTAATTTAGGTGAAGTTGAGAGTGGGTATATTTATTGTTTCACTGTCCTGTATATGAAGACAGAAGGAATGTACTTTTCAGTAAGATAACCTCCATCTATGCTGATTTATTTTGGCTGGATGATCATGAAAATTCGATTTTTGTTTCAGAAAGAGAATCTTTTTTGTCGCTGAACTGGACTGAGTACTTAAATAACATGTACTTTTGATTGGTACTGAAACGTCATTGTAATGGTGTCTTGTAAACCAATGAGGGCCGGGCACATGTCAGTGTGCATGACACACCCATGCACAGACAAACTCATTAACACAAGAGGCAGACACTGACGCACAGACACACATCAAAGCATAGACTAAGAAATAAGAGACATGTGAGAGCATGCATAATAAAATCAAACTTTACTCAGGTCTTACAGTGACTACTTAATCAGTCAGGCATCGGAAAATAAATCAACAATCATTTTGATCACCATTCATACATTAATTCATTTTCCATAATTACTTCACCCGGGGGGGGGGGGGGGGGCTGGAGCCTATCCCAGCTGTCGCAGGGCGAGAGGCAGGTTCACCCTGGACAGGCTGCCAGACTATCACAGGACTGACACAATTCACGCTCACATTCACACCAACAGGCAATTTTGAGTCACCAGTTAATCTAACCTGCGTGTCTTTGGACTGTGGGAGGAAGCTGAAGAAACCCCACACTGACTTGGGGAGAACATGCAAACTCCACACAGAAGGGCCCTGGTCTTCTGGTGGGTTTGAACCCTGAACCATCTTGCTGTGAGGCAACAGTGCTAACCACTGCACCGTGCCACCCATTTTGATCACCAGTTAATCATTTAAGACATTTATCAAGGAGAAAATATCAAATACTTGCTTGTTCCAGGGTCTTATATTTGAGAAGTTGCTTCTTTTCTCAGATTTATGTGACTGCAAATTGACAACCTTTGGGTTTTGGACACAGCTGAGCTCTTATTTGACATTTCATATACAAACCATTAAACACATAATTGACAATAACCAGTTGATTAATCAACAATGAGAATAATCAGAACTTGCAACTCTCTGGTCCAGATGTAACTTCCATTGAGCTAATGTGGTGCAATGTAGTGAAAGTAAAGATTATTGAAGGTAAATTAAAAGGGCCACTTCTCCTTCTTTTTGGGCTCCATAAGAGAAGATACGCCCCATGTGAGCCACAGCTCGCAGAAAGCAGAGGGACACACACTCACGTTGCGGCCCAGGGCACAAGTGAAAATACAAACATTCATCCAGTGCACCTGAACACATACAAATGTCGACATAGCACGGGTCTCGTTGGTATCACGTTCAAACACACACGCAGACGAATGAAAGAAGATACACGCCACGGTCAGTGTCTGTGCTCGGCACTCAGCTCATGGTGTCAACCTGATTTAGAGAGAAGTACACCCTTTACGTACAGCTTGTGACTGAAGCTGTCCCCAGGAGATTGTTGCCCTTTAAAACATGATATCCACTCCAGCCAGCAGCGCTGCACGGACAGACCACTGACCCTCAGCCAGCAGCTAAAAGGTTACACCTCCCCCTCCCCCATTTATCTCACACAACCAGCTTCTTCCTCCAAACCAAAAATGTCCCATAAAGACTCCCAGGAGACAGATCAGAGCTACCATTAGCGCACATGTCAACATGCAACATTTACAATTACACCGCTGTGAAAGCCCATTAAAGGTTGCACAGCGTCCCAGACGCATAAGTAGAGACAGGAGGTTTTCAGAATCAGCCTCAGCACTCCACATGGATAACCACAGGACACTGCGCAAGGGTGAACATGAATTTGACTTGGGAGTCTGAGACAATTACCATTGGAGTACAAGAACAACAGAGAGAGAGAGAGAGAGAGAGAGAGAGAGAGAGAGAGAGAGAGAGNGGGGGGGGGGGAGGGGAGCTGATGGGTGGTAAGCAGTTTCCCAGAACAAACACAACGTGAGCTGTTACCCTCCTCTTCCACTAATGGGAGGATAGAATGTAAAGCGCATGGCACATGGGTATTAGCAAAGCAGCCTGGTGGTGCTCTGACAAGCCTGGCGCCCTGTAGGTAGGGTAATTAAAGTGTGTGTGGATGCACAGCTAAGAACGGCATCTTATCTCCGTCTCTGAGCTGCTGCACCCTGCCAGGATCCACTTTGGCAGGGTGGCCGTGTTACATGATATGTGGGCCACTGTTAACAAGGCTGCTCGATCATGGCAAAAATCATAATCACGATTATCTTAGTTAGTATTGAGATCAGGATGATTTAACATGATTACTCATCGACTTTGTAAACACCATGCATTCATTGACCTTTAAAAGAACGTCTTGTTAACGGTGGGCTTTCTGAACTTTAATTATAATCTAACAGAGAAACAAATACAATGTAAACGTGAAAAGATCTGTAGAAATAAATAAAATAAATAATAGATGACATATAAATATAAAAATGGCGCAGGAGGTGAGGGAGAGACCCCTGGCTGTTGGCCCAAGACTCGTGGACTGCGACGACTCTGAGCAACATGCATGTGGAAGAATTAAAATATAATATATTTGGATATGTTTCTCGCTTTTTCCCTGATGGTTTGAATAAGCTGCTAAATTTGATACTTGTTGCTTTTTAGAAATAAAGCTGCTAAAAGTGATGATCACCACTGCAAAGGACTGGTTGCCAGTCAAGTATAGGTCTGAGTTTAAGGTCAGATTGTTTGTCTGTAAAGCCTTACAGCCTTTTGGCCTGGCACCCGAGTACATTTCTGAGCTCCACTCCCCCTTTCCAACCCTAGATCTCTCAGATCCTCAGACCAGTTGCTACTGGCAGTCCCGCAATCAAGACTAAGGTGGACAGACGATCATGCATTTGCAGTAGTCGCCCAAAAGTTTGGGAAGAGCCTCTATAGATACGTTTAAATATAAGCTGAAGACCCACATGTTTTCTAAGGCCTTCGACTGTCCTTAAGGTTTCTGTTTTCTCTTTCATATTTTATCTTCAGATCTCACTATTCTGTGCTTGACTTACTTTTTTACTCATTTATTTGTGCATGTTTTTGGGTTTGTTTTGTTATTTCTCTTACGTTTTGCTGTTACCATGTTATGTTATTTTACTTATTCTATTTTACTGCACAACACTTTGGTCAACTCTGGTTATTTTTAAATGTGCTCTATCAATAAATCTGATTTAGGTTTATCAAACGAGACAAAACAAGAGCATCACTGCAAAACTGAATGTGGCACAATTATCTTATTTTCCTAATAATTGGAAGCAAAAATCGTTACTGAAAACAAAATTAGATTAATCGCCCAGCTCTAATTATTACAGTATAATTTACAAACTTGATCTATCGTCACGTTATCCAGAATAACTTGACATAACCTAATATAACATCATATCAGCTAAGATCACGCAGCATGACACGACATAACTCATAATAACCTATGTAATGTAAATTAATATACCCATAATAAAATAACAAATTATAGCACAACATAACATAACCTAGCTTAATTTAAAGGTCCAGTGTGTCACATTTAGGGGCATCTATTGGCAGAGATGGTATGTAATATTCATAACTATGTTTCAATTAGTCTATAATCAACTGAAAATAAGAATCATTGTGTTTTAGTTACCTTAAAAGGAACTGTCCTCTTCCAGTGAGTTCGCCATGTTGTTTCTACAGCACCCCATGTTGAAGCCAATTTTACCTAGTGGCCAGATGTGGAATTACAACTTCTGGGTCCGTCACATGGTGCCAATGGGCCCATTTTCCCATAGGTTTATATTGTGAAAGAGATGTCTATGAATCGGCGGATAAATTTTTTTGAGCGTCGCAACCCCCCTTGAAATGTTTCATTTCACTATCGGGATTTGATCCATTTGGTCCGATAACATTTCAAAAGTCTAGAAGAGCCGCACAATGAAATTGTTTCAGCCCCATTCACTGAACTAGAAGTTAGCCGCTCAGCCAGTGAAGTCTCTAGTGGGCTTGCTCTATGGGCCCCACGATGCGGAAGATCTGGTCATTTCATACCGTGGAAATCAAGTGTTTTTGGCTTCATCCACCACCGAGCAACTCTCAACAGGGCCCACCTCCAACGCTGTGTCCAGTGCCCTTTGTACATCCATGCCCAGTACAGACAAATCAAACACTGATTGGCTATACATAGGGCCATTCATGTGTTTGCATTTTCGCGTCAGCCACCAAAGTTCTACACGCTTGGCACAGAGGAGAAGTTTCAGATCTGCAGCCTCACTATTAGATGCCACTAAATCCTACACACTCGACATTTAACCAATCGCAAACTTTACACATACGATAACACACCATAACGTAAGAATATAACCCATATTTACTAATCTAACATAGCCTAATATATCCATGACAGCAAAACATAACATAACACAGCACAAAACAATATAATATAACCAATAATAAACTAACTTTACAAACCCATAATAGCATCACATCATATCACATTATTTACACATTTTGTAATGGTGTGTTGTTGTGTTCTGTGCCCTCTCTCGTAGCACTGAGCTACATCAAATTCACTAAAAACTGAATAGCCATAATCATGTGCCAGCAACCAATGTCTTAAAATAGCCGAGCTTTCTATCCTGTCATCTGAAGAGCTTATTATGCAGAAAAAAACAACATCAAAATCCTGACAGATGGGGTGATGCGTCTTTACAGAGCACAGCCCAATCAAAGACATCCCTGCGTTCTTTGTTTTTGGTTAAGCATCCCTCGTACCCTGCACTGTGATACCATCTCTGTCATATTGCCCTCCTGCCCAGCCATCTGTATTTCCAGTTTTTGCTTTCCATTAGTCCTTATCTGTGTCTCCTGATGGCTGCTCTGTTTTTTCTTGTGCCTCTTTCCTTCCACACCCCTTTACTTGTTTACTTACCTGCCAAGATTCTGCATTTAACAAGCTTTATTTCACTACTTTCTTCCCTAATCTTAATCTCTTTCTTTCTTCCTGATTTCCTTTCCACTTTCCTTCCTCTCGCTCTCCTCACGCCACCATTTTCTCACCCTTCACATTTAAGTTCAAACCGTCTTTCACTTACCATCATGGTTGGGGTTCCCCAGGGTCCAGGGCTCATCTGAGTCAAAGTGTGTGTCCCCTCCTATGCCTGGTCCCGGGAAATAGGCGTGGGCAAGGAATCCCCCCTCCCCGTCGAAGGGTGAGCTGTCACCGTGAAAACCCGAAGCGAAGATGATGGTGATGTCCACGTCACGCCTGCCAGTCTCCAGTGCACTGTATGGAACGGCTTCAAAGCGTAGGGGAGTCACACCCTGCCACACGTCAAACGCCCGCCGGATGGCATCGTGAGTCTCCCGGGGGCCCACCTTTGGTGTGACATTTTTTATGCTGTGGGAAGAAACAAAGCAAAGAGGTACAGTAGATGGTACGGGGAGAAAACGTTGTACAGGTTGTGGTTTACATTCTGTCCTCACGGTAGTGAAAGACATGGATGTACACAGTGCAGCAATCATTTTAAAGTCAGGGAACAAAACGTTCAGCACAAGTGGAAATAAAATATATTCTGCATAAACCCCCGTGCCTCTCATTAACTTCAACATTTTTTCACTTTTCAAAATGAGGAGACAGTAAAAAAAAAAAAGTTGCACTTGACACAACTATTTCAAGCCCGGCAGCTTTTACTGAACTTTTAACACAGCAGTCGTTATCAGTCCCTGGCAGGCAGAGAGAAATGGGAAATCTTCTCCCTCTCTCTCCACTCATTTTCCTGAATAAAGTGCAGTCAGCAGCAGCACTGGCTCAGCACTGATTGACATTCCATTAGAAGAGGTGGCTCATCAATTCAAATTCGTGGAGGAAGGGAGGATTTGAATAAATTGACAGTGTTATCATCTATTACTGCTGTAACCTGTCAATTTGCAGTTGTGCCAGAGACCCGTTTATCAGTTCTCCTCAGAACCTATTAAAAGCTGGAGCTTAATCAGGCGAGATAAGATGAGAGTTTGAATATTTCTGCTGAGATTACGGACAATTTACACTCAGGATTCTCAAACAATTTTATATGAAGGAGAGGAAAGCCTTCAATCTTCATGCTACTCAGCTAAAACTGTTTGTTTTGTTTTATGAAAAGAATGAATGGAGGCGGATTTAAACAAAAAAAAAAAAAAAAAACCTGCCTGATCTCATTTTTCATTTCACCAGCAAGCTATTTATAAACCGCAGAGCAAACATACTCACAGGCCCATTTATGTGTGAATCTGAATGTGTGATGTTGGCGATATTTTCGTGTGCGTGTGTGCCACCACATATGTGACGTTTTTGTCTCTATGACAACACAGAGCATGTGATCCCAGGTGGTTAAAGAGGAGGGGATGCGAGACAGAGGAGAGCTGAGAAAATTAACACTGCCACATCTGAAACCCCACAATAAGCGCTGGCGAACTCAATGGTCGCTATGACAACTGCCTCCACTATTTCTCACCTGTAGGTGATGTGAGTACGCTGCCACTTCTGTCCTGTCAGCGCGTATCTCCGCTTCCGTGACCTCGCGGCACTTTTAAATTTGTCTGGAACTCCACAGCGAGGCTTTTGCATCCAACTTAGAGGAGAAGAGAAGAGAAGAGAAGAGAAGAGAAGAGAAGAGAAGAGAAGGTGACTCAAGTTTGCAAAGTAAGAGTAGGGAGGCAAACACCATCACGAGACAACACAAAGCACTGAAGTGAACTCAGTAGTTCTCTTCCTGCCATAATCACAGCAGCAAAATAAGGAAGTGTTGTGCAACATACCACTAAAACTACTCCAAACTACAGCCACTAATACAAGTGTAAGAACACAGTCTCAGTGAGGGCTGAGAGGAAGTGTCTCATTCATACCACCATCAGATTATCACAAATACAGAACACATAGGCAAAACATTAATTCTCACCTCAGCGTGATATCACTGCATCATCATGCAAAATGAGAAGAAGGAACAGTGTTAAAAACCTTCACCTGAGGTTGTTTCAGACGAGCTGATGGGAGGGTGAAATGAACATCTCTATTTCTGTCCTGCACTAATTCATTCATATATTGATAGCCACTGCATTTTATTTTTTTTGTCAAATGAATGGGCGCAGCATCTGCATTAATGTGACATCAGTGGCCTAATGGGAGCACATGTGCACCTCGGCTTAACTAAGTGCAAGCATGTGTGTATACTCACTCCTTGGTCTTCTCATCCAGTGTCCCTGTGACATTGAGACCGTAGACGCGCTGCATGGCAGCAATGGCTGAGCGCATGGTGTGGGCCGAGCGCAGGACAGACATTCCCGGTTCTGTGCGGGGAAGGTAGCCATACATCTGTAGCCATCCCTGCCAGGAGGAAAGAGAGGAAAGATTTGGGCCTTCGTGTTGTGGCTATTTTAAGACTTCTTTTAGACTCTTTGCCTTTATTAGAAAACTCAGAGGAGAGATAAAACGGGAGGATGGAGCAGGAGATGACATGCAAAAAAGGGTCCTGGGCTGAAATCACCTCCAGGACGCTGCACATTTGCATTTTGCAAGTTTGTTCGGATAATAAATGAGTTAATCATCTGCTACAACGCGCATGCATCAACCCAGCTGTCAAAAGTGAAAGGCTATAAAAGAGAGTCTTCCCATTTGCAGCAGCTATGAACTTGAATCTCCTTCATTTTCTGTTTGATTAGATTTGGTCCCACAAGTAACTGTTTCAATATATTCTCTTTGTCAGCGTTCATATTTCACTTAAGGCTGGGAGGCTGTCTAGTTCAAAGACATTCCTCCACCGCAGTGGTTCGGGTACCTTGCTCAAGGGCACAGGAGCTGTTTAATGAGGGCAAAGTATTATTTGTTTAGTCACCCAACCCAGTTATTTCCCAGTAAGTAGCCAATCCCATAATTAACACCAGGAAGAACATGGCTGCAAGTCATTCATTCTGTTTGTCACAAGAAGCTGTGAGGTGACTGACCATTGCTACAATACTTTTTATCATCCTAAGAGAAGAAACTGCACTGAAGCTGCTGTTGTTACATCTGAGGCTTGTTTGTCTATCCAGCAGTGGTTTAGGTTTGTCTGTGTGTATTTGCTCAGAGGCTCCCTGGACACCAGTGAAACTGTTTGCATTTAAATCCCTCCTAGTGACCTTAGTCAGTGGTTGTGTCTTGCGGCTGCCGGTCAGCGTACATGTGCAGGACTGTGGCCCTGCCTCCTCTTGCCCTACAAAGCCAGAGTGCGGCTTGACACAGAGGAGAGAGGTGAGGCCGAGCATCATCCAGGGGTCACTGGCAGACTCAATCCTGAAGCCAAGAGGCCACGAGGTGCCCACGCTATCCACAGCTGTCCACACGCCAACCAGCTGCCTCCCCATCACTACACAGCCTATGAGATATGCTCCAGCTAGCTAATCTAACTAGCTGTCTCCTCTGTCCATCCCTCCCCCCCTTCTGCCTCTATCCCTCTTTCTGCTGAGCTAAACGCCTTGTTTATCCTTTTTCCCCCTCTCTCCTCTCTCCTGTGGGCGTGTTTCCTGTGTGTGTTTGTTCAAAGGCACAGATCTCACTGAGATATCGGGCAGATTTCAGTGAGCCATAAAATTGAATAATGATGTGTTTGTGTGACTGTCAGCCTCAGCATTTATTTTCCTCAGAGTGGAGGGAGGGGGGAGCCTGAGGTGAGGACGAAAATGACATCAATTAATAAGATACAAAATAGAAATGCAGCTTGTGTGTGTAAATGTTTAATCTCCTCCAACACCATGATGCTGCCAGAGCATGTCTGACTTTATGCTGGCCTGTCACACAAGTATATATAGCAATGAAAGCATGATGCTGCAGGACATCTCTGTTTAAATAGACCACTCTTTAAGTGCAATCATATCTGGGCTGCACATTTAGGATCAGCGGGCTGGATCAGCTCAGCTCATGGACCGCAGTGTAATAAAATGAGCATCCTTCTGTTTCATTGCACTCTACAAATGAGGAATGCGCGATATTTTCGCCGTTCAGAGCGTGAGCTTTTCTGATAGGCTTACAATGTATCCATGTTATGCGTTATGGTAATTGTGCCCACGGATAGCGTGGGGAGTCGATACACGATACAGGCTATATATATATAGGTATATGTATGTTTTTCATGCTGAAGCGGGTGATGTGGAGGAGAGAGCACGGTCATTGATGATATCCAGGGAGGGAAGGCCATTTATCTTACCTCAACGCTGAACTGATGATCCTCCTCTCCGGACACAGCACACGAAATCCAAAGCAAAAAATGCAAGCAGAATGCTGCCGCGTAAAAACAATCCGATGGTTTTCTTTTACTGGAGGATACTAAGGTCATAATGACCTGTTTTTCCCGAGTGTTTATTAGAAGAAGCCGCCCGTCTGCTTTGGCTCTTGTGTCAAATGAAAATCATCAGGCGAGCTGTCAAGGCAGATTCAGATGAAAACGAGAAAAGGCCCCCGCGTTGATATAAAAAAAAAATCCCGATGGTGGCATAAAAATGTTCCGATGTCAAGCAGAGATAACGCGGCATGTTAGACCCGCTGCCCTCGCCATTCTTATTTACATCAGGGGCTACATCTATCCAGCAGCATCAATGGCCATGTACAGTACCCAGTCTGCGCAAGATAGGCTCCCTCCCGACTCGACGCCTGCGCTTTGATTTCTCACACAGCGCAGCGCTGCTTGGCAGCATCATGAGAGCTGCCCTACAGAGTGCATGAGAGATGAAATGCCATTCTTCAGAACTGCCTGTACGTTTGACTTTTGCATTGCAAGAACAATATCTCTGTGCAGTTTGAAGCACACATGTGCAGTCAGACGGTTTGCTCTTAAATCCCTGGTGGTAAACAAAGGCCTGGATGCAGATTATGGACTGATGGAGCTCACATTCCTCTGCTGATGCTTTTATAAACCATAAAGGCAAATCATCTCTATGTGCACTGATAAAACTGCATAGTGACCCTTTAATATTCTGACTATAACCTGCACCTTGCCTGTATTTTAGAAATTAACCACTTGATCTTATCATCAGGACAAAAGCTGCCCATTAGTGTCATTATCCGAACATCTGTCCCACAGTTCAGCCATGTGTTGATCTCTGGCCTGAAGACCCAGAACAGACGACCTGACAGCCTCTCAAGACATTTATAGCTCCAACAGCTCTTTATAGCCCAGATATGCTGCAACAACCTGCCCCAAGCAAACGAGCCACAAGATGGCGATGTTTCATTGAGGAATATGGCCGTCAGCTGTTTGCTTGCAGACCTCTGAGGGCACAGGACACACCGGAACCTGAATCCACCCCACATGAACTAATGAGCCGAGAAATTGATCTGACATTGATTTGATGCGACAGGCAGAAAAGGCGTATGGGAAGGAGTGACGAAGAAGCTCATGATAGAATCCTTATAACACAAAGTTCTTTTGTAAAGCAAAACAGGAGCCATCTCCTTTGTCTCTTCAAGGAGTCCTGCACTCGTGACTCAGAATCTGACGTTGCCCTGGAAAGAGTGTGGCTACCTGCAGAGAAATCTACATTTTAGCTGATTGCATCCATGATCTCATTCTATCAATCACTTGTCACAAGTGAGAGTTGGAAAGAGTATCATCTGCCAAGCTGACACATTTGTGGCTTGGCAGGTTTTTTTGTAACTGCGGTCCAATGCAAAAATCTGGCCTGCTGCAGCCAGTCTGCTAACGGTCAATCTTTTGATCCCTTTTATTCACACTTGTGAATGACTCAGAGATTCCTGCAGTTAGGGACACTTTCTCACCACTGATTTCAATGGATTTAACGGACTGGGCCATGCTTTTACCGGAAAACCATGGCACCAGCTGTGGGAACGCAGACCCTCGCCCCAACTGTGCCACAGTCGGCACCAAATCAGTGCACTCTGGTAATCAAAGCTCCATCAACCATAAAGACTGCGTCAAAGATCAGAGATGCCGCCTTAATGAGATTAAACTCTCCTGACACTGATGGTCCAGGAACAACATAAGAGTCTGATACCCACATTTTCTTTAGATGACCAGGGAACAAATAGGCTGGCCTCACCTACAGGACAGAGTGAACTTAGACAAGTCATCTTGTGTCTTTATCATGCAGTTATGGGCTGTGTTTAAGCACTGTGTCACTTTATGATGCGTGAAATGTCTTGAGATAGATCCTTATGATTGAAACATCAACTCTTTTTAAATAAATCCACACAGAGGTGAAATGTTTGACTTTTCTCTTCAGAATTGGATCTTTGGGGGAATTGAGTCTGTGCACCACAAAGGAGACAAAGCAAGTGGTGTGTGTGTTGCCCTCTATGCATACAGAGCCCTTGTGTCTGTCAAAAAGATTTTGGCTCTACTACAAAGTGTTATAATAAACAGTTTTGATAACTTTTTTTTTTTTTTTTTTTTACAGTAGTACAGCCTTAGGGGGTCTTCCACATTATATTAAATAGGGGAGAACAGGGTTCATTGTCACACTTTTAACTTTCATTTGAATCCCTTAAAAACTTTACTGATGAAATGAATGGGGTATTTTTCTGGGTTGTCATTTATTTGTACATTTTAACTTGCACTGTGTGCTACGGAAGCGTATTGCATTCACTTGACAAATAAAAAAAAAAGCCCTGTTTTTCTGAGTAATATGTTTTGTTTTACGTGGTAATTTTTTCAGTTTTTTTGTGGTATTTTTTTAAAATTTTTTGTGGTATTTTTTATGTTTTTTGTGGTAATTTTTTTCTGTTTTTCTGAGTAATATTTTTTGTTTTTCGTGGTAATTTTTTCTGGGTTTTTTTTTGGTAATTTTTTTCTGTTTTTCAAGGTATTTTTTGTGTTTTTTGCGGTAATTTTTTTTCTGTTTTTTGTGGTAATTTTTTTTTGTTTCTTGTGGTAATTTTTTTCTGTTTCTTGTGGTAATTTTTTCCTGTTTTTTGGGGTATTTTTTGTTTTTTTTTGTNNNNTTTTTTTTTTTTTGGTGATAATTTTTTTCTGCTGTTCGTGGTAATTTCTTTTCCTGAACATGACCGGTGCCTGCGTAAAGTCGACAAACTAATGGTAACACCATCTATATGACTTAAAGACAAGAGTATCACCCAGTGTCTCAAACCCAAGTAAAACTGGATTAAACTAAACAAGCGGGTCATGTTTGCCATCATAAGGTCAGTATAAGGTTGGTTGTCACTGTTATTTTAATGGGGAAAAATTAAAAACGGAAGCAATCTTAAAAATGAATTTAAAAAGCTGTCGAAATCTGATGCTTGATCAGTGATTTGCATCAGTCAGACACTGACGAAAAAGCCACCTTTAACTTCGGCATGATACACAGCCAGTCACTGCTGTAGTTCAACACCACTCAGCGGCATCAGGGGGCACAAGGCAAAAGTTAAGGCAGCAAAAGTCCAAGTAAGGTGGATGGGAGGGGTGGTGGATGAGTCCAACAAACACTGACTTTCCCCCGGGAGAGCAGTGCTCACGTCCTGTGAGATTCCAAAACCAAACCCTGTTGTTTTTTCCTAAACCCAACCACATGTGTTAGTTGTTGGAGCAAAAAACGTCAATTTGCGTTGTTGTATTTATTTTGAAAGAGGCTGTATGTAAATGGTAAATTTCCTGTGAAAACAGAAGTGTATTTTGAAAGAAGACAATGCATGTAACAGGCAGAACTTGACACGGCGTCCCACAACGTCAACAACCAACACACCCAGGGTACCTTTCACACCTTTTCTGGTGTTACAGCTGTGTATGTGTTCTGTGCTGCTGTCCCTTTTTCCCTCCCTTGCAGATCTGCCCAGGTGTGCTGCATTACCTAACGAGGTGCAGCACACCTGGCGTGGAAGAGGTGCTTAAGAGCTCCTGTGCCAGCAGCAGAGGAGGGAGGCTCTGGTGTGGGGACTGCTGGTCCTGCTGCCTCTCACTGAGGGATTTTTGTTGTCTTGTCTGCTTGTTTTCATTCTAATAAACCCCATGGATCTGACTGTTTTAAAGGTGTTTATGTGGTTATTATTGGATCAGTGATGGAGTTTTGTTCGCCCCGTAGGGCTGTCTAAGGGTGGGGCGTAACAAATGGTGATGTAAGTTTTTGTGTGTATCTCGTGGCTTTTTTTGTGTAGAGGTCATCTCTTTTGTTAAATTCTTTGTGGTTGTTGCTCTATGTTTAGTTGAAACTTTAGTTTTGAGCACCCTGACTAGGTAGTCACCGGGCAGGTAAGATCTTGCCACTTTGTTATTTTGCCTTTTTTATTTTTGGTGGTAATCCTGAGTGGGGGCATGCTTCAGTGTGTTACAGTTGACTACTACTTTGGTCTTCTGTGACAAGTTCAGCGTTTAAAGCCGCCTCGAGCTCGGCAGGCCACTGAAGACTACCTGGGTTAGTTAGCTGTCTGAATAGGTACGTCAGGGTTGGGGTGTCTCAACAACTTGTTTCCTAGTTTTTGGCACTTTGCAGAGCAACTTGATCGGGATTTTGTTTTGCTTGAGATGACTAGTTTCTGTTTAGTCACGGTTTTGTGTAGCTGTGATAAATACTTGTGCAGTAACTTGTACGTGGACGTGGAAAGTCTATGACTAAATGTCCATATGTGACAAGGTCCTATGAGTGCATTTTTTTTATCCTTATATAACAATACAAAGAACAAAACAAAAAGCAATACATGTGACTACCAACCCCGAAAGAATGCAAAGCATCCTCAACTGGAATTTTTTGCTGGCGACTAAGCAAACAACCACACGTTGTAGCCTAGCTACAAAAAATCTAAACTATAGCTCTCCTGTAGTGCTTCTGAATGGTAATAATTGTTTGATTATAAACCCAGTGCACAAAAAAGGAAGAGTTGAAAGAAACACAGAAAAGTTGAATATTTAGATTTTTACATGAAAAACACTTAAAGTCAAAACCAAGCATCTTACTTCAGAAGTGACCCTGTTAATTAGTATATCTGTTTCAAATGCTACCTATAGACATTTCAAAAATCTCATTTGACAAATTAGACAAGCTAATCTCAACATTTATCTGGCAAAGAAAGCGGACAAGACTTAGATTAAAAATACTACAGCTATCTAAAGCAAAAGGGGGGCTCAAACTTCCAAATTTGAGATATTACTTTTGGGCTGCGCAATTAAGACCATTAACAATATGGATTCAGGACCTGTCATGCACACGCTGGCTCAATGTTGAGAAGGGTTTATGTGAGAGACCTTTACAAGCCCTGCCATTCCTAGGAGGCCACTCAAGTGAAATAGATATGGGTGAAGCGACCAAAATCACACTAAAAATATGGAAGACAATGAAACTTAACTTTGGCCTGCCTAAAGCAATTTCAGCACTCACAAATATTGGATATATAAATCATTTGCACAGTTATCGGGGAATTTAAGCTACCAAATACGGATTTTTTTCAGGTATCTACAGTTAAGGGATTTCCTATTAAAACATGAAGAATGGGTCAAAGTTGTTAAGCCTACACTAATTGCAGAACTATTGATAAGCCATTGTTATCAAATATTTCTAGATATGAATTCGAATAATACAATAAAAGTTAAAGAGAGATGGGAAATTGAGACTAATTCAACTATATATATCACTGGAAATGTGGGAAGAAATATGTACTGAAGCACATCTGGTAGCTAATGCAAATGTGTGGAGGGAATTT